TTCAGCGCTGTCCTCGGCTCGATCATTCAACAATGCGCTGAGGTCAGCTACAGGTTCCCATTCAGGCATCGTTGATAGGAGATGGCCCATAACTCGAAGATACTCTCGTCGAGCTGTGTCGGATGGCTCCCGGGCTCCGGCGTAAAGAGCAGGCAAGATGACACCTCTCAAATGGATGTCAAATCCCCCCCTCGAAAGTTCAGAAGAGCATGTCGCTGCATCCATAATGAACCGCCGAAGTCCATCGGCCGAGTTGGACGAAAGAATACCGAACTCGGCATCGTCTCGAATGTGATAAGTCAAGTTGTGAAGCAAAGGTAGCCACTGCTTTGGAGTCAATTGAGTCTCCCGATCGCCCGAGATTGCACTGTAAGCTGCCAGGCGTCTGTCATAATCCGGCTCATCGATTCGCCCCTCTTTGAAAGAATTGAGAGCTGCACAAAGACCAGCAACTTCCTGGAGGCTGTTATCCTTCCCAGCGATAGCCAGCATAGCCCTTGAAAGTGATTGTCTGTTTTCGCGATCTTTGAAGTAACTGAAAAGAGAGGATATAGTGTCGTAAACATTGTCGAGAAGTGCTTGGTTCTCAAAGGCAGTGGAGCGAGTCACATACTCCTCAACAATGAGCAAGATTCTGCCCTTGAGCTTGGGGCTGACTCTCCGTGGAGGTTGATTCAGAAGGAAGATGGAGATCTCAATCACTGCTTGAATGTCCTCGGTATCCTGAACGATAGGAGCCATGGTCAGGATTGTCTCAACACAGGCCTCCATTAAGTCATTACTGATCCCGGACATGTCCAGAACAGTAGAGATATGTGATAAAATTGTTTTCGCGTTGGTGTCGAGAAGGTCTGCTTTGATAACCTCGTTGAACTCGGACTCCTGTGCAGGTGCAGTAGCAAGTTTGATCAAGTTTCGAATTATAGTAAGAACATGAATCTTGACTTCATCCTTACCCTTCTCAATTGAAAGACATTCAATAACTTTGGGAAGAATACCCTCAGGAACCTTGCTATGTGGTGCAAAGAATAGGGCAATTCTGGGGAGTACAGACCAAGTAGCGAAAAGTTGCAGCATGCCAGAAATCCCCTGTGTTGTCTCGCTGGGCAAATTTTCTAACCTTGGGGCCACAACATCCTCAAGAATGATATCCTGGTATGGTGCCCATTGGAAGGATTGAGCGTTTTGGAAAAGAGCGATCAAACATTTTAAACCAGTTGATCGAATGACCCTGAGAAGAGACTGCGTGCTGGCCTTCTCTTCCTCCTCTTCGCTCTCTGGGCCCATACCCTGTGTGCTGAGTTGACGGCAGGCAAAAACAAGGCAGTACAAGACAGCGTTGAGGAGCGTATCCAGATACGGTGTGGCCTTGGTGCCAAGCTCTGATATGACGGAGGAAATCATATTGAGAAAACCAACTTGCTTCCTGATGGGAAGGATAGGCTCCTCGAAGATCGACTTTGAGGCGCCGACAACCTTGACATCTTTCAGCTTACCCGTGGCAATGTCCAAAAAGCTCCCCATGTCTTCGACGCTGAGATTCCGAAGGACTGCCAAACGAGTGGCCTGCAAGCCATGCCTGCCGCTTGCTGCACCCTTCTTGGAAATTGTACGGCCGTAAAGCAACCTAAGGAGAACAGGCATCAAATCAGCTCTGTGCTCTGGCTTGATTGCGTTCTCGTCTTGAAGGAAGACTGTGAGCTCGTTTTTGAAACGAGCTTCGTCTAGAAGGAACTCTAGGTTTTCCTGATAGGTCTTGATCGCCTCCTGTTTCCAGGCGAGTATGGCCTTAAGGGTAACCTTCTGGACCTCAACATCACCATTCTCCATCAGTTGCATGAGTGCGGTATAAACCTCTTCATGTTGGTACAAGACCCGGGGGTTGATGAACTGTGAAAAGACACTGAGCATAGCCTTGCGATCAGCGAGAGACCAAGTGGCACCCTCGGAAACATCTTGATCGTTTGCTGAATCAGGGGTACGGTCTTCACTTGCCCAAGCCAAGAAATGTGGCACAAGGAGCCGCGATCTCCTCTCTGCAATCGAGGGAATCGCGTTAAACACTTTCAGCGCACGAGACCTAGAGTTTCCAGCGACTGTTTCCGCAGTTTGCTGCTTGTCGTCGAAATTCTGTAGCATCAACTCATCAGGGCGGTCGATAATATTTTCCACCTCTGCTGCGACTTCTTCAAGTCGACGCAGGTTGGTGCATTCGAAGTCGGAAACGAAGGCGGGACGCGAGCTTTGGGTTTCAGGTTGTGAGGGGCCCCAGCGAGCCGAGGGAATCTTCAGCCAGCGGAAAGCAACCTCACAGATTGCCTCCTCTCCCGCCTTGGTCTGTGTGATCTGCTTCATAGTCTCCACCGAATCATCCCACACAGGCGACAGCTTGACTGTCAGCATACCAAACAAGAAAGCAGGCACAGCTCGTTGCAGCCAAGAGCCTTCCTCAAACGAAGCGTAATTCTGACCTAGCTTGCGAAGATGCATGGCGATTGTCCTTGTATGCGCAAGACTTAACGGAGTCTCCTCGGTCTCTATCATAGTCTCGACAGCGTTCCAGTTGTCTGGCGTCGGGCCAAGTGCTTTCAGCAAATTCAAGGACGCCAGCCTCAGATCGTGGGATGGAGAACTCAGATTTTCGATCAACGATCTAGTCACCGGGTCCTCCTCGGTGGATGAGCTATCGCTACTGGTACTGTCTTGTCTCCGTGCAATTTCCTTACTTTGAAGGATCTCTTCGTACGCGAGATAGGCATGCAGAAAGCTTACTGACTGGGAGAAGCGTGGAACTGCAGCTCGTAGCAGGGGGCTCAGGGTAATGTCGACAGAGCCGGCGGCCTTGCTCATACGAAGGTAAGCATGGAATCCTTGACCAACAATAAAATGAACCTCGTCGGATGCCAGGGTAGATGAAGGGCGAAGGGCGAGCTTCAGTTTCCGGAGCAGGAGTTCGGCGATACGAGCATTTGTTGATGGGTGAACAGCCGTCAACTCAAGTATCTGAAGAAGAGCCGAGTATTTTGGCAAGCATCTATCCCGCCAAACTTGAGGATCTTTGTTATAAGGCCCCCGTTCGGGAAATGGTGAAATCTCTAGGCGCTCGAACTTGGAGACAATCTGATCCTGCCAGCCTTGTGGCATTCGGCAACTGTCTTTCTCACCAGCTGGTGGGAAAGCACGGTTTTCAATCATCTTTGGTAACAGAATACAAATCATGTCCTCATTAGGATCCTCTGACCAGTGGTTCGTAATAAATCTAACACAGTCAGCAAATATCCAGAAGCATCTCTCATCTCGAATGCTCACCTTTGAAAATCGTTACGGAAGAGACTTCCAAAGCGCCGGGCATCCAGCTCGCAGAAGTAAGAGCAAAAGGGGATGAACCACTTCATGAAGGGCTCCCTGCTCAATGATTGGGTAAGAGGAACAATATGGGGTATCAATGCATCAATGGGTGCATGGTGCCAGACAATGGCAATATTGACGATAACAAATTTCCAAACAGCACTTGCGGCATCATGTGGCACTTCCAGACCAGCTTTTGTAACCTCAGATAACAGCTCGACAAAGTTCTTAATAAGTGGTGCCCAGTCCGTGAGGCGATTTCCTTTCCGAACACCAGCCATGGTACCGTATATCCGAAAGAGAGGAACCGATTGCCACTGGCGATCAGCAGGAGACAAACGCTCCATATTGGCTCGAATGGTCTCATGGACCCCGGTAGCAAAATCTCCAAAAGTATCAGCAGTCGCGTGGTGGATAACACTGGTGAGAACGCCACAAACGACATCGGTCCAAGTGGTATCTTCGGTGAGAGTTCGCTCCCCCTCGGGAATTGCATCAACGAGAGCAGCGAAAACAGCCGGGCCAGTTGAGTGGATGATATTATCAGTACCCTTGATTGCTTCAGCAAACATATTCATCAATCCGTCTTTGTACAAGGTAAACTGGCGGTCATCCTTGATACTCAAAAGATCATCTCTCGCGCATTCAACCAGGCGCTTCAAAGCTGTCTCGCGGTGAGAGGGGGCTGCCGCTTTCTTGATCAAGAAGCTAAGGGCTTCGGCCGCAAATCGAGCAATATGGGGGGGGTGTCGTGACTTTCCGAGAAGGGGCGCCATAACATTGAAGGTTGGTCGTAAGTCTGGTACGAGAAGTTTCGACAGGTACTTGAATAAGAAGGCGAGTGCGCCAAACGTCCACTCTATAACATCGGCATCCTGGGGCTTCGCAGCAATAGCCACAATCAAATCCAAACTCCTGCCATAATGTTTCTCAAATCGAACTCCCAGATCATGCGAGAAGGCGGTGAGAAGATCCAATAGGGGCTCCAGAGCTTCCTTATCCTGTCCTGCTATGAAATCGGCCAACAAGTCCATTATCCTCTGTTCGAAGTGGAGGAGTTGCGGGAGGCTCTCGCATAGCGGCCAGACCTTGGTCTTGAACGCAGAAAACGGTTTCGAGACATTGAGTTCTCCCCATTTCTGAAGCCCTGTCTGGAAATAGGACGTCGTGGTGGAAAGGTCTTCGGTATCGAGGTCATGACGGCGAACCTTTCGCAATGGTTGGAGCGAGTTAAATTTGGATATTTTCGTAGTAAAAGACTCCCATCGGTGGTTCTTTTGATGGGGTGTTGAATTTTTGTTCTTCCGCGCCTTGGTGATGCGCCCTGACGAGTTGGACGGCATCTTGGCGGTATGACTTTGTGGAAGGACAAAATTCTCACACTTGAAGATCCAGATCTTGGTGCAAAAAGAGCTTCACATACCGCGAAAAAGCGTCCCGCCAAAACTTTTTTGCCGGCTGATGAGCGGTAAAACCGATAAGGCAGCGCTAATGCGGGAAGCCCCGCTCCAACCAATCATAGGCGCGCCGCATTCTCTTATCTTCCTTAAGCTCAACGCGCATCTGTATGCACTTTCATCATAGCTTCTTCCATACATTGCCTGAGAGAGAAGTTATCGTGATAACCTCAATATATCAGAACCACAACCAAGATGGCTGCACCAAAAATGTAAGTTACGACTCCCACTCATTCCTCACTTGTACAGACTGACAATTCTCATGCAGTATTGTCTTGGGCAGCCTCAATGGCCAGCTTGAACCGGCGTTCAAGAAGCTGGCGACATTACACACCAAAAACAACTTCTCCATGGCCATCCTCACTGGCGATGTCTTCAGCGCAACCCAAGATGATGACTCTGTGAATGCGCTTCTAGACGGGACTATCAAAGTCCCTCTACCAACGTATTTCACCGTCGGAACCCGCCCACTTCCACCTCGTATTGCTGCTAAGGCTGAAGCCGAGGAGGACATCTGCGAGAACCTACATTTCCTAGGCAAGCGCAGCATTACCAAGACATCTGATGGTGTGAGAATTGTCGCATTAGGTGGCCAACTGGACGCCAACCTCATTGCAGGACTATCTAAGGAGCAGCACCTCCCATTCCACACAGCGGATGACGCAAAGAGCCTACGCGGCGCGAATAACGCTGATATTCTCCTGACTTCAATATGGCCAGCAAGTATCTGGACTGGCTCTCAGGTTGCGCTCGATCCCACAAACCAAGCGTCACTCACCGTTTCGGACAATATTGCAGAACTATGTGCAGCGCTCAAACCGCGGTATCACTTGACGGCTTCGCCAGAAGCCTTCTTCTATGAACGAGAGGCTTTTGTTCACCCCACCGAAAAGGAAACGGACGGCACCTGCGTCACTCGGTTCATTTCAATGGCTTCTTTCGGCAATGACGCCAAAGCAAAGTCTTTGTACGCTTTTAGTCTCAACAAAGGAGATGCTTCAGTACCCCCCGGTGCGACAGCCTCGCCTTTCAACCCCAAGACTAAGAAGCGTGCACCTAAGGATGATTCTTACAGCCGATACGGGGGCGATGATAACAGCAGAGGCCATAGAGGCCGACGCCAGAAGCAGCGCCATCGGTCGCCACCCCCGGGTCCTGATCGATGTTACTTCTGTCTCTCCAATCCCAACCTATCAGCCCACATGTGCTGTAGTATCGGCGACGACGCCTACATCTCCACGGCTAAAGGACCTTTGCCAACCTCGAACACATTTGCAGAGCAAGGCCTTACTTTTCCAGGTCACTTGATCATCATTCCACTACCACACAACCCTACAATACCTAGCATCGGTCCTGTCACTGATCCCACAGGAGAAGCCGCAAAAACCTACAACGAAATGACACGATTTCGAGAAGCTGTTCAGGCAATGATTGCCTCCAAGAGCTCACACAAGCTCGGCGTCGTGACGTGGGAGATCAGCCGAGAGCGCAACGTTCACCTTATCTGGCAACTAATGCCCCTCTCGGCCGATCTCATTCGCAAAGGCGTCGCGGAAGCCGCTTTCAAGGTCGAGGCGGAGAATCAGTCTCTTCCAGCATTCACCGCTCGAGAGCTCACACTCGAACAGCAGGCCGAGTCAGGGGGTGACTTCTTCCGCGTATGGCTCTGGGCGGACGATGGCGAGGACCGTATTAAGGGCAAAGCCCTCGTCATGCCTCTGCCCTCAGACATGCGCTTCGATCTTCAGTTCGGACGGCGTGTGCTAGCTAAGCTTCTTGGTCTTGAAAGTCGCCTGGTATGGAAGGATTGTGAACAGACCGTCGAGGAGGAGACAAAAGACGTCGAGGCTTTTCGGGCGGCGTTCAAGGAATGGGATTTCACGCTTCAAGAGGGCGAAGAAGCTGCGGCTTGAGTTCTTTGGGTTTTGGCACGGGCGGCGTTCAAAAGAAACTGGTCTGGGTAGAATTTCTTGATTTGAGGGGCGTTACTTTCTCCTATCTAGGTAGGAAAGGCAGTCTTAAGAGGATAAAATTAGAGATGTAAAGGAGGTTATATGAGACCTCTATTGCCAGGCTGTTTATCTCGAAGAGCACCTCTCTCGATACACAGGTAGCTAGGGCATAGGCCAGTCCCACCTTTGTCTATGGTTCCAGCCGGGCTATAATCCTGAGACCGGTAAAGAGAATGTTTCCCTGCTTTTAATCACCCGGGTTAGGCGGACCTACCTTTGCCTCTGTCTTTATAGGCCTCCTCGCAGCCCGATGAGATAGACCTACAGCAACAGCCCTTATCGCACTCGGCTGTAGAAGCCTCTTCGTCGCGGCCGACTTCAGCGTCATCTTCACAGGTTGACAAATCTCGATAATCAGCTGTCTTTTGAGCCCTTAGAAGAGTCCCTATATTAGCCACCAGACGAGACGTGCTATTCTCTACGGTTGTCTCCGGTGGCTTCCTTTTCGCAACTTGACCCGACGGATCAGATTGTTCTAGGACAGGTTCTTTATCTTCCTGTATAACTGGTCCTATTATATATATTTTGACCTGTTGAACCTCGGCAACCGGTAACCTCCAGTTCATATGAGAGGCCGTAGACATCTTCCTTGGCCATGTGGGCATTGAATATATATCTTATATCTCTTGGCACTTAAATATATACTTTATAATCATATTAGAGAACTTTTACAAAATCTACCTTCACTCTGTTTATATAATATTAATTTCATTTCTAATATTTAACCTTATTACTTGACTTATTAAATGTTTTTAAGTTATATCTTTAGATATAACAGTTAAGTGCCAAGCACTAATAACTTTCTATCGTTCTGCGAGGCAACATCATGTCTACAGAATAACCGAAGATATAGTAAATATTAAGGGTATAATAAACTGATATAAATAAAATGAGACGCAAGAGTTCTTGGATCAATTGTGAGCTGTAACGAGAATTTTGTAGAATTTTATTATCAGAGTGAACTATTAGACCAAGTTTTAAAACAAAATGGCAGGAGTTGGACGGAGTATATAGAAAATTAATGACATATATCTTATGTACCTATTCATTAAGAGGGAAGATGATAACAATTCATGTTCCGCAATTGCGGTTTTGTCTGAGAAGACTCTTATTCATTCATTCGTGGACAGGAGCTTGGAACACTCAGAAAGAATCAAGCTTATATACACGCTTTATGAGGAAAAGTACTACGTAGTTACTCCTATTGTGGCGTCTTGGAAAGTTCTGCTGTACAATTTCCGCTATTCGGACATTTGCTGTGGAGCTCAATGGAACCTGGTATATCAACCGAGAAGCGAGCGTCTTCGAATGTCAAAACGCAGCCCCGGCTGAAGGGGTAAAACCAGGTTTAAAGCAACGGTTACCGAGTTGACGCAAAATATCAAGAGTCAGCATCCATGCTCCAGCCGCAGCTGTGGAAACAAAGTCACGTTTCACTGGTAGGTTGCTGAGTAACTGTCGTGACTACAGTATGTAGGTATATGCAGGCTTCAGTCGAAGCTCGTCCAATATCATCCGTCGTGTATCCGACCCTTGCATATTCGCAAATGCTGTCTAACACAGATGTGTTTCTATCAATTCAATACTAAGCTTCATTAACTTCAGATGCCTGTTCTACATCCATTGAGTAGCGGATATTGCCTAGACCGTGTGTTTCTGAGCTAGATGTTGTTTGACTATGACCTCGTGCCTGGATTATCTAAATTTGAATTATTCGATAGGCACAAACTTGAATGCAGGGTAACATGTGCATGCTTATTCTGATTCGTGGTGGTACTTCTTTCACGTGGCTGTTGCGGAATGGAAGCATGAAGCTCAATGTCGTTGTGTTAGGTTTGCCCTGTGCTCAAACAACACAAGGCAAACAACCGTGTGGTTTCTGCACTCGTATAACGACTGACCACCTAAATAGATATATGCCATGCTGTACTACGGGCAACTACGCTGAGTAACTGAATATCATATCCGTCAGGCACGTTAATAAGCCCACATTGTATGAAAAACTTGTCTGCGTTTGTGGCTACCCAAGACGAAGCTAACGTCTAGACCCTGAATATCTTGACCCTGAGCTACCCTGTATTTGGAACATTGTTCAAGATAACTTCGCCAACGCTTGGATCTTTTTCAGCAGAAAGATGGATTAATCCACTGTCCACTGGCCACAGTCATGGGTCGGGACGATGAGAATGACTTCCGAATTCTCAGGAGTCGCGGCAGGGCCGGGGACGACGATTTTCGTAAACGCCCTGATCAGAAATAAGACCTTGTCTGCATGTACTCCTTCACATCATGAGGAGTGAAGTCTCAGTCTCAGTCCAACCAGTTGGAAAGCTTGGACATGTTTTTCATTTCCGCCTTTCCGCCAGGTCCGTGCTTCTGGAAAGGCAAGCTGCGAACGTCTTCACTCATCGTTAAACCTTGAGATGGAGACATATAACGCAGGGGTTAGTTAAAGGTAAGACTGTGTATAACCGTGATAGTGCAAATTGTCTATGCTGAGCATGAATCATCATGCATAAGTCTGACTGGATTCGTTGACGAAAGAACACAACAGGCATGAACTAAAAGATCGAGGCTCTAACTCTTGAGGACAGTGACATGGTGCAGGGTCTTTCAGCATTTTGCGACAAAGCTAATAATATTGTAGATTCCAATTGACTTATAAGCATATAAATGCAAACACAGCGATGTCATTGCATGTCATGTAGTATGACAGTGACGTGTGTGAAGCTCGGATATTGGGCCAGGAACTTGGAAGTTATGGTATGCGGAACACTGACATAGCAAGACATATAATGTAATGCAGTGCTCAAGTCTACGTCTACGTCTACAGCCTCACTTCAAGAACCCACTCTATTAACTTCCTGGTCAGGGAAATGAGTGTGTTGACTCGTAGAAAGGGACTAGAAGGTGCCAAAAATGAAGGTTGGTCGATGCTTGTACTAGCAACCATAGCTCAAGTGTAGATCGCCTGAGCAACAATTCAAGGATCAAAGCTGGGGAGAGCTTGAAGACAAAATGACAAGGACAAGCCGGAGAGGGAGTCTTGAAAGTCAGAATATCTTAGTCGAGGCCCCTAAAAAAGAAAGAAATCGTGATAAAGGGAGAGGAGGCGTCAAAATATGGTAAGCCGCCTTTTCTTATTGTGACATGTCGTTGCCGATAAAGAAAAAAATAAAACAAATTAAGATATGGATCGTACCTAGACTTGATGTTTGCGCTAGGGTCTCTTTTGGCGCCTTAAAATCCCAGGAGCGTGGGTCGATCCACTAAAGTAGAAAGGAGCTCGAAAAGAAGACATAAGACATAGTTAATACAACACAACACAATACAATACAGCTATGGGTGACTGATGAATGAATGTGTCTAAGAAAAGTATCTATATCTACCGGGAACAGTAATAGCTGAGATCAAATCAGTCCTTCAATACCTTCCTAGAATAGTCTTCCTCATCTCGAGTGCCTAGGTTGGCTTTAGGCAAGTATTGCATAATAGCCTTGTCTGAGACGGCATCAAAGGCAACAAAACGGTGCGAGATCTTCCATGTATCATCCCTCTTCTCGAATTGGTCTATGTATCGGACCAAGAAAGTAATCCAGGTCTCTTGGCCATCGGCCTCGTTGACTGTTGTGGCGGTGCAGTATGTCTCAGCACTTGCGGTTGTGCCATCCGGTCCAAGTGCGATCAAAGACTGGCCTATTTGATGATGCACAGCACGTGTCGAATCAGAAGCAGTCATTGTGTCATAAAAGTCCTTTGCAGGTCCATTGAACGAGCCATGATTGTCGATGGCATCTGGGTGATAAACAGATTGGACCAGATGGCGGATCTTGCGATCGGCGCCACGAACGAACTTGTAGATTACAGAGCGAATCTCATCCTTATCAACGATAGATTGGAGAGATTGGCTAAGTTTAGCGTCCGCCAATGATGAGGCCATTTCGAACATAGGAACGATTTAAAGGTGAGAAGTATGTTGGGTTGTCAATACCTAAGGTTGGCAAGATATCTGGAAATCTACAAAGTGGTCGGGAGTCTCGGATACCTACTACTTATCCACCTTCATCTGGATGTTCACGAAGCAAAATGGAAGAGAGCCAGAGGTAGCAAAAAGTGCACGTGACGGCGCGTTGGACCCATAGAAAAAGAAGAAAAAAGAAGACGCGACACGCTTCCTATTTGTTTACTTGGGAAACCGGGTGCCAATTATCACCCTTCATTACCCCACGACGCTGGAACTGGGAACATGGTACTGATTGCAACTGCGCCGTAACGAGCACTCGCGACTCTCTGTGCCCATGTCAATTCTCTAACAGAATTCTGCACGCTCCATCACACCATCACATTAGTGAGGGAACTTATCGTCGCGATTACCCCTCATTCGACGGTCAGGAGACGCCTTCGTGTTGAAGTCTGGTAAGGCTCAGGGATGGTGAGCCTCTGGTAGCGTCGGGAGGGCTTTGAGGAGGGGTGACGTGGTGGAGTCTAAGTCGTGAGTCCATCCCACATTAGGAGATGCTAATGGATCCTCAGACGAGCTGGAGAGCTGACGAGCAGCGGACTATCCACTGATGCGAAGCGATTGGGTCGCTGAGGGCGACTCTTGTAAATTATGGGGGTTTGGCTGCAGCTCACCACAACGTGGAACCCGGCTTCTGCAGTATCATTCGTCTCTGGGGAGATGTCAATCAAGTTAAGTAAACAATAAAAGCTAAGGTGAGATGGTACCATGAGGTATCCGTATAGCTACTAGCCTACGCCGTCGCATCTCGGTCTCTGATAGCTGGTAAGTGGCAGCTAGAGGTGGACTATTGGGGGAACCCAAAGCTTGCGAAGCCGCTGCCCTTGGCTCTTCTGAGTCTGCTTACCCACGGGCCGCAATGCAAGGGAATGCAAGTTCT